AGTATACTCTGTTACCGAACAGGCTTCGAAGAAGGATTCTGCAATGATAGAGTTAATCAACTCCGTCCAGCAGATGCTTAGGTCAAACAAGCCTAGCAATTCCTCCTATCGTCGTTCTAAATCCCCTTAACGACTAAACGCACGTGGACGATCTAAGTCCAACACACGTTCTCTCAAAAATCCTGACTGGTGTTGGTATCACAACACCTATGGCCAGGAAGCGAAATGTTGTCGAAAACCTTGTGATTTCGGCAAAGCCTCCAAGTCTGTGGGAAACTATCCCGCCGGCACGCGTTAGCGGCAACCGTCGCCGGTGGCACTAGCCGCTTACTTTACATCCATGATGTAATTAGCCAGACTAGATATCTAGTCGACACAGGCGCCGAAGTCAGCGTCCTTCCTGCTACAGCAGCAGATCGACAGAAGGATCCTAACTTCAACCTACAGGCTGCAAATGGAAAACCAATTGCAACCTATGGTCGGAAATACGTCTATCTGAACGTAGGTTTACGCAAACCTATTCAGTGGATTTTCCTAATCGCTGACGTCACAATGCCCATCATTGGCACGGACCTACTAAATCACCATGATTTGCTCGTAGACGTCCGCCGTAAACGACTAATTGACAACACTACTAGTTTGTCTATCAAAGGCATAACTTACGTAGGCCCCAGCTTGTCAATCGTTAAGATGAAAGCAATCCTCGATCCAACTTTTCAACCAATTGTTGACAAATATCCGGAACTCAATTGCCCATCTAACGATCTCCCGTGTATAACCAGCAATGTTATGCACCACATCATAACCTCAGGACAGCCCGTGACATCTAAAGCACGACGACTGGCCCCTGACAAACTGAGAATTGCCAGAAACGAATTCGATCATATGCTCACCCTTGGCATCATTCGGCCATCGAATAGTCCATGGGCATCACCATTGCATATGGTACCGAAAAAGGATAGTAACGATTGGCGACCCACTGGTGATTACCGGCGAGTGAACGCCAAAACAACCCCTGATTGCTACCCTTTGCCTCACATACACGACTTGACGGCAACGTTATCTGGAGCATCTATATTCTCCAAAATCGACTTGGTTAAAGCATATAACCAAATCCCGATGGCGACGGAAGATATTCCGAAAACGGCTATCATCACGCCTTTCGGACTTTTCGAATTTCTACGCATGCCATTCGGCCTCCGGAATGCGGCCCAAACATTCCAACGCTTCATCGATGAAGTATTTCGCGGTCTCGAATTTGTGTAAGCATACTAAGACGACTGCCTCATTGCCAGTCCAGATAAGGAAACTCACCTTAGACACTTGGACTTGGCATTTGAAAGGTTACGCCAACATGGTGTTACCATCAATATACAGAAGTGTCAAATAGGCGTTGACTCACTCGATTTTCTGGGTCACACTATTGACTGTCAGGGCATACGCCCACTGGCTACTAAAGTCGAAGCGATACTGAACTTTCCGGAGCCAAAGACAGTAAAATGCCTTCGCACTTTTAACGGCTTGGTAAGTTATTACCGACGTTTTATTCCTAATTGTGCTTCTCTAATTCAGCCATTAACCGATCTCCTTCGAGGGAACAACAAGGCTATCGAACTCGACACGTCTGCTCGACATGCTTTTACTCAGGTAGAGAAAGCTATTGCGGATGCCACACTTCTTATGTATCAGGATCCAACGGCACCATTGAGTATCTCGGTTGATGCATCAGACACTGCAGTCGGCGCAGTTCTGCAACAACTAGTTAACAACGAGTGGCAACCACTCGCATTTTTCTCGAGGCGCCTTCAAGTAGCTGAAACGAAGTACAGCACATTCGGAAGAGAACTTCTAGCTATGTACTGTGCTATACGTCATTTTCGACATTCAGTTGAGGGTCGTGAATTCACCATTTTCACTGACCACAAACCTCTGACGTACTCTCTGAACTCAACTTCAGATAAGTATTCACCCAGGGAATCGCGACAACTAGATTACGTTTCACAGTTTTCATCAGATATTCGCTATGTTTCCGGAGGGAACAACACTGTGGCAGATGCCTTGTCACGTATTTGTTCTTTCACCCAAATCGACGGCATAGACCTTGTAAAACTGGCTCGTCTTCAAAAAGAAGATACTGAGCTTCAGCGCGAGTTGTCGAAAACAACTCTACAATTAGCCAAGAAACCCTTAGGTATAGGAAAGGATACTATTCTGTGTGACATTTCCACTAGTACTCCTCGCCCCATCGTGCCTAAAAGTTATCGCCGTAACGTCTTCAATACGTTGCATGGCTTATCCCATCCAGGTATTCGAACTACTGTCAAGCTCCTAACTAGTCGGTTTTGTTGGCCTGGTATTAACAAAGAAGTAAGGGAATGGGCACAGACGTGCTTAGCTTGCCAAAAGTGCAAGGTAATAAGACACACTAAAAGCCCCCTTGGCACTTTTCTTATCCCCGATGCCCGTTTCGAACACGTCCATATAGATTTAGTTGGCCCCCTTCCAGAATCTCATAGATACACCTATATGTTAACCTGCATCGATCGCTTCACACGATGGCCTGAAGCAGTACCCATCAAGGATATATCTGCTGAAACTGTCGCACGCGTCTTTGTAGAGAGATGGATCGCAAACTTTGGATGCCCATCTTCCATAACAACTGATCGTGGGCGGCAATTCGAAAGCGGTTTATTCTTCGCTTTGACTGAAATCCTTGGTTGCATGCGTTTTCGAACAACAGCCTACCATCCTCAAGCTAATGGTATGGTAGAACGTCTACACAGACAGTTGAAAGCTGGTTTATCAGCTGCAAATAACACCCATTGGACTGAATCCCTCCCGTTAGTTCTCCTAGGGATACGAAACGCTTTAAAAACCGATGCTGGTTGTACTACCTCTGAGCTAGTATATGGCACGACACTACGACTGCCAGGTGAGTTTGTTTCTCCCTCGAGCTCCCCACCAGCGTTAGATCACACCTCATACGTCAGTAGGCTTACAAACGCAATGCGTTCAGTTAGACCTGCTCCCCTCCGACCACAGTCCATTGATGTTTTTGTTCACCCTTGTTTAAAATCTTCTTCACACGTATTTGTTCGTCGCGACTCGGTACGTCGTCCTCTAGAACCCCCGTATGACGGACCATATAAAGTAATTAAATGTACGGATAAATTCTTCGTCTTAGACAAGAAAGGCCGTGAAGACACCGTCAGTATCGACCGTCTGAAATCTGCTTACTTGGAAGGTAATCCTATTAGCCTAGAGCTAAACGTTTCCCATAATCCACAAGTAATTAAATCTCCTTTAGTCTTCGGAGAACTCCCTAGCACGGCGAAAGCCACCGAAACTTCGGTCGATCACTCTAAGAAAACGCGTTCTGGACGTCACGTTAGATTCCCAGAGTACCTTCACACCTATTTCACATAACTGAGTGACACATCAATTTTTTTTATGTTGCATCATTTAACATAAGTAAACGATATATTTTTCCTATAACCGTACATTAAACATGCACTTAAAAAAACTAAATTAGATGTATATTTTTTTTCCCGATATTTGAACTTTACATTATTTTACTGTATAGTAGATGCCCGTCATTTTTTTTGAAAAAAACGCTTTTTGGTACAATTTTCTTGACAAGGTTCTCAGCATTCTTGTTTTCTTTTCCAGGTGCAACGGGCACTGGACAGGAAACAAACGAAGCACGGGATCCAACGAACAACATTGAGGAAGCTATGTACAGACACCCTATTAGCATAGGCAGACAGACCAGCAGGCTCTCGATCAAGCCGCTCGGAAGATTTTTTTCACCCATCAGGGAACCGTCGAGATTTTTTTACTTCCGGCTGGTCATGTCTTAGGGTCCTCACAAACCCACTAGGGGGGGAGTGAGCTGTAGCGGTAAATAATTCCCCAAAATTATTAACCACAGCAATCATCACTCAACATTGGATGCTGACCATCACTGTTTAAGTCGACTTGTTTAGCTGAAGGCTTCCGGTCAAGCATCCCCGCCATTTGGTACTCCGTCGTGTCACGTGCGTGCACGATTACTAGCTAGCTAAGCATTCACCTCTACCCGCGATTTGGTCCCGAAATATAATACGTACTTTGGACGACAAAATCTGGTCTTTTGCTTTACCATTTGGTACTCGAAGAACGAACACTATAGAAGTTGTTGGTATAAGATCTTGCGTTAGTATAATCCGTACAACTCGCGAACGTCGATACCCGCAGCCTCTAAAAAACCAAGGCAGGTAGACATTGTCTATAAGGGAACTCATATAATCTAGAAAACGGTTAGAGAAAGACCACCCTTATGATTAGTGGTAAAACTAATTTTCCATACGACGAATGAATGAACAGTTTGAAACTTATCTATTTATCATACCATAGACGCACATACCATAGGCAGACAGTAGATATCATTACAGTGTTTAAAATTCTATGATGTGACTGTTAAAATTGTCTTCTGTTAACCTTCCCATGGTTTCGGATTATTTCAGGGGATAGAGAGGTGAGCTCAAATGTCAGAGACGACTTATGTTACTGCAAAGTGCTGTCCCTCCCAACCAGTCATAAACTTTTGCTTTATCCCCAGAGTATATATCATGATCGCCAAACAACTCGTTTATAAAGGGGTGAAGATAAACCAAAGACGCCAGCAAATGGCCTCGAAAAAACAATCCAAATAAAGTACTACAAAGTCCCTTAAGTGTTTTTAAAGTAAATAAATTTGAAATCTTAAGTCTTCTTAGTAAGACGATTATGCACTACCCTAACTCTCATCTCACTCTTAACGCTAAAACATAACCTTAACACTTGGTCCCAAACCTAGCCTTATTCCTAGCTTCTTATCCTAATCTAACTGATGATCTAAGCCCTAGACAGTGAAAGCAAGTAAGTTAGATCAGCAAAAGCTCTTTAGTTAAAACTTACATTGAACCCACTACTGGTATGTTTCTTTGTTTAAGGGCATTCAGTAGCTGGTGTAGTTTGTCATCACCTATGATAGCGTTAGATAAGCACACATAATTTTTAAAGGAGGATTAAAATAGATTTATTGCCTTCTATTATCAACCAAGTATCTGAAACTTTAAGGTTACTTTTGCGCGAAATTCAAAGGTGGTGCTATGTTGGCGCCTCAAAGTCATTCTGGCTTTTGTAGGTTTTTTTATTGTCCCTTAAAACGTCATGTTTGGGGATCAGATTTAGTGAAAGATTACTTTTTGTCACACTATGGTGCCTTTCACTTCATCGTTAGTCCCTTCCAGTGTTTTTAATCAATCTAATGCAGAGTTTGTAATAAATAAATTAGAATATAGTCATAAATCTGTTGACTAGATTGAGAAGTTACAGCTATGGCCAAAAATATGATAAATGGTGACTTAGAAAGTTCTTAATCAGTCATGAAAGTAAAGACATTCATTGGAAGGTTACTCTTTTCTGCCCAACTCAAGCTCACTATTATGCTGAGTTTAATCTCTCTACTTCTGAAATATCTCTAACATTCTATAATGAGTAAATTCTGAAGTTGTTCTGAAATGGTTTGATTATGCTCACAGACTAAAACTCGATGCTTCTTTTCAGCATGAATGGCGATAATTCAGCACCACGTGCTTTTTCTAGGTATCATCAGAAGTAGCTCAGAACCTACTTGGTTTGCTAATCAGCTTTGTTTCGGCCTTCTCAGCCCAGATTCGGAACTGACTGGCATTGGTTCAGGACTGAAAGACGTAATTCAGCTCAAAATAGAGGTCTTTTCAGCTTTATTTCAGCACTAAAGGCATTCTTTCATACTACACATTCATTCATTCTTTCAGCTGCAAATCCTATATTTAGGGTTTCGTAGCATTAATTAATCGTCCAATGCTCTTTTTAAGAACGACCAGCGTTATTTCAGTACATATTGGGTTCATTTTAGGTAGATAAAATATTCATTTACCATAAAAAGTTATTATCGACGCATTGGTTATAATTAGCTTAAAATTATTGTTAGCTTGAGAAATTTCTACTATATGTATGTAGTGGTGCACACTGCGTTTACTGTTTATTTAAATGCAGGGGTAAGCATTTGGTGTAGAACAAGCTGAGACCAAAATAATTGGTGGGGATTTAGAGTGAATTTCGCTGAATACAGTCAATCAGAACTATGGACTGGCATTGACTTCAAACTCGATACGTAAAAACAAAGTTCGGGCATATTTTGGACACTGGTGCCTTGAAGTCTCCAAAATTATGCATGAAGTAGTCATTGTTTTGGGTGCCAATTAACCTAATTTCTGGTCATGCCTACTTTCATCGAGTTGCGTCTGAATTTTTCTCTGCTTCATGAAGTTCATCCTTGTGTTCGCACTGTTCTGGACATTATACTTATGCTCAAGGCATAAGAATTTATTTTACTCTTTTCTTAAGTTCGTTTACGTATCCCACACAAGAGAAGTTTGGAAGTGAAAACGCACTGATCATAACTAGTGTGTACGAATGCATCTGCTATTATTAGTATCGCGTGAATCTTTTACTGCACAATTCGACCAATTAGTTGACTTTTTCTAATATCCAGTAACCATTATAATTCTATAGCTCTTCATGGCCTAATGTGATTTACAAGGTAAATTGCGACTTTTTGGAATTATGGGGAAGATTTGCAGCTCAAATGGTTGTTTCGGTGTTGTTGCCCTTTGTAATTTGGATGGTTTAGTTGCAGACCTTTATTGTTCATCTACACATTTTTAGTGCTTCACAGTGAACTATTATATTTCATTCATACAAAGTGTGAAAAAGTGGCTTGTTATGGTTGGTTTCTTGTGGAATATCACCATTAGTTGTTGAAATAAATTGAATTAATTGCATCGAAGACAAAGCGACAGGCCCTCAGATTTATTTACCGTTGCGTAATAAAGTTTTGCGCCGATACTTAGCTCGTTATCAATTTAGCAATATTCAATTCTGCCATAGGTATAAAGTCATAAATTCTATCATTGTTAATGTGGTCATTAGTATTAGGGCTACTGTTATTAAGAGTTTCCCGCAACAGATTTCTCATGGACCACGCAGTCTATAAACCTCAATATTGACTTGCTTAGACCGAAATAAGTGGGGTTAGATTTGAAGCTGGGATCCATCGACCGAAAGTCGTGTTCTTAAACCGATAGCCATGTCTCCAATGCTCGGTGTTAAGTATGGACTGTGTAAAGCTGTGAGACTCCTTCGATTTAAATATTTGGGCCACTTGTTAAGCACACCAAGTCATCGCGTTCCACATTGAGCGATGTTAACTGACATAGGATTATATCGGAAAATAGTCATTAGCGGTCATATGGAAGCCTGACATCAATCCATGAAGTTTTCGGCTGTTGGTTCGAGCCACGTAAGGAGGTATATACTGCCTAGCTGAGCCGTTCAAAACGCTAAGAACCAGTAACTGGAGACTGTCAGTAACATGGCTCGAATTGTTCTCAATAGCACTAATGTATCCAATCACCGTAATCTTCCAGATGTTATATTTCCATAATTCCACATGCATACTTCTCTCAAACATTTTTGTTTATTATAGTTCTTTTTCCATTTTTTTAATTACCTTTATTTGTGCTTTATGAAGTATGGCAACGTGAACTGTTGCACTTTTGTGTAAAGTTTAAGGGTTTTAAATTCAATTCAATCCACACAAAAATCAGTAAACACTCACAGGAACGTTAGTATCAGTTAAAATATCTCTTAGATGAACTGTATTGTCAACATCAAAATTTTTGCAGAAGTGCAGCAATTCAAGTTGCGACACTCCAACAAACTAGATCAAGGAAAGTTAACAGAACTTAAACTGTAGAAAGCTTTCGATAGAAAAAGCAGTTGAGTAAAAATGTGATTAAGATTCATGATAATATGATTTCAGAATCTGTAAGATCGCAAGTAGTGAATACATTTGCACCACTGTGAACGACTGTGAGCTATGTCACCAACAGTTTCCAACCATTGATTTCTAACCCACTGAGGACTCCGGCTAGACAGACTACACCTCCATGCTTGGTTTAAACTAACAGTACTATCTTTTGGCCTGGTTACACATGACCCTTTTCAACTTAGTCATTTCAGTCGATTCATCTTTATAATCTCTTCGGTTCACCTCGCCTGCTTCCCTAACACTACGCTGTACCTAGCTTTATTATTGCTGACCATAGATTAAGCAAGAGTGATCAGTCAACAGTTCATCCGTCTGCGCTGTAACTTTCGATGAAGCGCTTGGTACTCACAAATAAATTTAGTAGATGCATACCTTTTTATAATTTAGCAAACTATATGACTAGAGATGTAGTCTGCAATAGTGAGCACACGACTATAGTCCCAACGATCATTGTTTCGTAATGTGTAAGCTCTGGCATACTACCCGAATCAGCGGGTTATCTTAAGGGAGCATATCCCGAATCTTTGATTTGAAGTTTGATCTGCAATGGCAGTAGAGCGACATCAGTAACCGGTCGGTCGGTTTTCGACATAGAACTTGGCACATATGTGTGGCTGTTCAAGTCGCCACACTCCATGTAGCACACAAAGCAAGAGACGAAAGTAGGACAAATGCATATTAGAGACAGTAAACAGAGGTGTGAGACAAGGGAATAGTAATAAAGAAGAACAATACAGTTTAATTGGAAATCATAAGTCACAAGGAGTGGATGCATCTGCGCCATCACTGAGAACGATTTTGAGCCATGTCACAAATTGTTTCCAACCATTGGTTTTTACCGTCCCGGAGGACCCCAACCAGGAAGTCTACATCTTCCTACGTGGCTTAGACTAACTGTTGTGGATTTCATTGACTGGTGCCATGTTTTCGTTTGACCGCCGCTAGCTCTTTTCCAGCCTGACCAATCCTATGTCAGCTAACATTGCCCATTGTCGAGGAAGGCGATGACTAGGCATACATAACACATGTCCTGACCATCTCAGTCGATGTAATTTCACAGTTTCGTCGACTGATTTCCCCTCCTTACCTAGCACTCGACGGAGGCCTAACCTCAATATTGCTCACCTTATTATACCACTTCAAGCGGGAGATAGAACGCAGACACCTATGATCGAAGACAGCTAATCTTTTCATGTCTTCTGCTCTCAATGGCCATGTCTCACAGCCATAAAGGAGGACGGAGCGGACTGTTGATCAGTACACACGCCCTTTGGTCGATAGTCGTTTATCACGTCTACGCCAGAGACGGCGTAAACTGGCATATGCGAACCTAGCCCTCTGTATTCGTGCTGAGATTTCGTGGGAGATCAACCCGTTGGGGCTGGTGGTACTTCCCAAGTAAGTGAAGCGGTCAACGTGCTCTACCACTTCACTTTCTATTTCTAATCTAGGGGTCGGTCAGGAACCGCATTCCCATGGGTTACCAGTGACTAAAACAGACCCATACACCATTCAGTCCTTTCAAATTCTGGAGTCTATGTGTACCATAGGTTTAGAATCAAGGTTTTCCAGCTCCTGTGGGTATACTTGTATGTCCATTGATCCAATTGTAAGCGCCAGACGTATTTTTGGGATATTTGTTGCCGCCAGTTTCTGCATGCATCTTCTTAGATCACCCAACTTTTATAAATATTCTTTTGGAATTTGCTTCTACTTATTTGACTGTTAATTTATGTACTGCATTTCATTGTAGACAAAACAACTATTACAAAATGTTTCCTAGCTTTCAGTGTGATTTCCTCCTTCATATTATTGATGCCGTTTGCAAAACAAAAGGATATATTTACATACAATTTAGACGATATATTTGAAAATGGATCGGTCAGTATGATAACCAAAATCATATCAAAAATTATAATTTGATTAAAAAAAACATTTTAGATATGGAGATTGGTATTTTGTCAGTTGGCTTTCCTCAGTACAAAAGATCTAGTCTGTGGTGGTTTATTGTTGTACTATTTTCGAATATTTGAACGACGTTATGGTCCAAGAAAATTTCTAGTAAGTTGTGTGTTTTATTTCTTTTTTGTGGGAAATTTTCTTCCCCTTCTCTTTTCATCATTTCTTTTATAGTCATTTCTGTTCTATTGTGCTACTACAACAACGTTAATTGAATTACTAATGGCATTTATTTTACGAAAATTAAGTTTTTCACTTCACATACTTCCATCTGGACCGTAAGTTCTTTTTCTTTTTAAAAAAAAATACTTTCCATTTATTTTAACCTTCAGATTTAATTTAATTTTCCCATTCTTTGTTCCGTATTTTCTGGATATTCCATGGGTACCTGTTGCCCATGTGATGGGTATTCCGATAACTGGGAAATCATTCCCGTATATATTTGGACTTGAAGTAGGTTGAACAGTAAATTTTTTCACCTAATGATATTTTCTTTTCCCTCAAAAAAAGATTGCCATGACGTCATATGAATCGTTATTCGTATGCTTATGTGGTTTGGTAAGTCCTATTCTTCTATAAGCTGTAAATTCTCTTCTACTTTATTTTGATTTGTATAAATGGTTATTATCGTTATTTGTCAATTCGGTGTGAATAGACCGTATAGCTTTTATCATATAATTCGTTAGTCTGTCTCTGTCTGGATTCAGCATAGAACTTGGCACCAAAGTGCAGCAGTTCCAGTTGCCACGTTCCAAATAGCACACAAAGGTAGACAAGAAAATGAGTGAAGAGAATCAATAGAGTTTTGACAAGCAGAGGAGTGAAACAGAATGAGTACTGGTAGGAAGGAATGTGAAAGATTACAGAGACTGAATACATATGCGTAAGCCATTGACAACCATCTTGAACCATGTCGCCTATTGTCTCCAGCCATTGATTCTTAGAGTCCCGAGGGCGGGCCCCAACCCGGAAGTCTGCATCTCCCTACCTGACTCAGTTTGACTGTCAAGGATTTCATGGATTGATTGATGCGATGTTTTTGTTTGACCACCACTTCACTTACTCTTTTCCAACCTTCACCTATATCAGCTAGCTAGTAATGGCCGTCTGAGTGGGGGAGGCGATGGTTAGGCATGCGCAACAAGTGACCTAGCCATCTCAATCTATGTAACTTAGTAGCCTCTTCGATTGGTTTTCCCTCTTTGCCCAACACTCTACGGCTAACGTCAACATTACTTACCTTATTATACCACCTAACGCGAGAAAGAGATCGTAGACATCTATGATCAAAAGCAGTCAACCTTTTCATGTCTTCAACTCGTATTGGCCATGTTTCAGAGCCATAGAGAAGGACGGAGCGAACTGCTGAGCATTACACACGTCCCTTGGTTGATAGCCGGATGTCACGCCTACGCCAGAGACGGTGTAAGTTAGCGAAAGCAGCCCGAGCTTTTTGTATCCGTGCTGAGATTTCGTCACCAATCAATCCGTTGGTGCTGATACAACTTCCCAAATAGGTGAAGTGGTCAACATGTTCTATCACTTCACTCCCTATCACTAAGCTAGGAGTTGACGTAGTCCAGTCCTGTAGCAGCATCTTACATTTTACATGGGCGAATCGCATGCCAAACATACGAAGATTGCTGCTCAAGGTGTTCAGAAGACTCTGCATTTTGTCAGCGTCCTCCCCTAACAGGTAGCACTGTATTGCTTTTTAAGGTGGTGGAAAAAAGGGAGAAAACATGTATTTAGGGAGTTTTTGTAGTGTTCAACTTCCCAATCGGTGTGTTTCTCCTTGTGAGGGACTTTTACAGTAATACAGTTTGCTGGATCACTCACTGGTCAGTAGTATGTACTGTCTCTGATAGATGGCCAGATATTTATTAGACCGGTGACATGAATGACTCAGATTGGCAAATCTTAAACGCTTCTTTCTTTCACTTGTACACAGAAGTTTCGTTAGCTGTTTTGTTCTCTTCAGGTATCCTCTCAAAGTGTACTGTAGACTACGGAACCTAGAATATTAAATAGTTTGTGTTAATTCTTCTGACCCGTCTAGAATTATTATCACTGGTGGACATTTCATTCATTCTGTTTTTTTTAAATAATAAACTGGAATAACCATCACTAATTTAGGTTAGTCTAGTTATTATTAGTGCTGTATCATAATAATGTGTAAGCATTTCTCGAGGATATTGTCTAGTATATTATAATGATTATTATTGTTCCCTTGGGTTCCTAGTGGAACATAGGGCTTCAACTGCACGTCTCCACTGCGTTCGGTTCTCTGCTAGAGTCTTCACCTCGCTTCAAGTCTGCCCACACGCTTCCATCTCCTCTTCACATCACCTCCTCCAAGTCACCCTTGCATTGACGACCAACTCACCACATCCCTTTCATTCGGGTTCCACTCGAGCGATGGCTTGTCTAGTGATGTCACTTGATGGTTTGTTTCCTCAGAGTATGGCCAGACAATCCATCTCCATTTCTTCCTGCCTGCCTATTTGTTTCACAGTCGGTTCCTGCTGTGTTGGTTGGTTCGCTCATTGCCAGAGATCTCTGTTGCTGATCTTTTCTGGCCGGCCATCTGATCTAGAGTGGTATTGAGCGAAGACAACTGTTAATGAAGGTCTGTAATTTGTTTGAATAAGGTTAATGAATATTTGGGGTACACCGAAGTACTCGAGTAGTTTCCAAATGACTTCGCGGTCAACGCTGTCGAAGGCCTTCTCAAAGTCTATAAAGTTGAGGTAGAGGTTTGATTGCCATTCCATGGCTCAAAATCGTTGTCAGTGGCGCAGATGTATTCAGTCTCTGTAATCTTTCATATTCCTTTCTACCATTACTCATTCTGTTTCACTCTTATACTTGTCAAAACTCTATTGATTCTCTTCTCTCATTTTCCTGTCTACCTTTGTGTGCTATTTGGAACGTGGCAACTGGAACTGCTGCACTTTGGTGCCAAGTTCTATGTTGAATCCGGCTAGCCAGCCAGCCATTCCATGCTTTGTTCGATGATGATCCGTAGAGTTGCAATTGGGTGGTTAAATTTTGAGGGTGGAGTTGCTAGCATCACGCCCGAAGCCCCTCTCTTTATCCGGGCTTGAGACCGGCTAGAAAACTGGCGAGCTAGTAATCTAGGCGAGGTTATATTGGCTAGTAATTCGGTGTAGTATATTCTGATAGCCTGTCAGCAGTTTGAAAACACTCCAAAGTGCTTGTTCACACCTTCAGATATTAACAAAAAGGCAATTGGGGAGCCATTACTATATTTTTAAATTCGATCTTGATATTCCCGTTGATTGATTGGACCGAAGTGTTCAGCTTCTATTAACATGTCAGCAGTTTCTACTACAGACACTTCGACAATGTCTGAGAATTAACTTGAAAAAAATTTGGGCGGGTGGTGACTACCAGTGTATTTGAGGATGCACATTTCGTCCCATGTGAAACTTTTCGTCTGGATGTACCTGCATTCCCTCCCGGTGATAGCGTCTCCACTGGGACTCGGACCCAGTGCCCATAGTTTCAAATGCCAAAGCATTATTCACAAGACCACTTGGGCGCTTTGAAAGCGACCTCTGGTGAAATCGGTGTCAGTTATTTTTTTGTTTTGGACTCAAGTGGTTAACGCTTTGGCGTTTGAAACGATGACTACTGGGTTTGAGTCTCAGTAGGAACACTATCACTTGAAATGCAGGTTCATCCAACTGACGAGTCCCAAATGAGACGAAAAGCGCATCCTAGAATACACTCCCTCTCTCTCTCTGTCTGTCTGGATTCAACATAGAACTTGGCACCAAAGTGCAGCAGTTCCAGTTGCCACGTTCCAAATAGCACACAAAGGTAGACAAGAAAATGAGTGAAGAGAATCAATAGAGTTTTGACAAGCAGAGGAGTGAAACAGAATGAGTACTGGTAGGAAGGAATGTGAAAGATTACAGAGACTGAATACATATGCGTAAGCCATTGACAACCATCTTGAACCATGTCGCCTATTGTCTCCAGCCATTGATTCTTAGAGTCCCGAGGGCGGGCCCCAACCCGGAAGTCTGCATCTCCCTACCTGACTCAGTTTGACTGTCAAGGATTTCATGGATTGATTGATGCGATGTTTTTGTTTGACCACCACTTCACTTACTCTTTTCCAACCTTCACCTATATCAGCTAGCTAGTAATGGCCGTCTGAGTGGGGGAGGCGATGGTTAGGCATGCGCAACAAGTGACCTAGCCATCTCAATCTATGTAACTTAGTAGCCTCTTCGATTGGTTTTCCCTCTTTGCCCAACACTCTACGGCTAACGTCAACATTACTTACCTTATTATACCACCTAACGCGAGAAAGAGATCGTAGACATCTATGATCAAAAGCAGTCAACCTTTTCATGTCTTCAACTCGTATTGGCCATGTTTCAGAGCCATAGAGAAGGACGGAGCGAACTGCTGAGCAGTACATACTGGTAGTCACCATACACCAAATTTCTTCAAATTGTAGAACAAGCTTTGAAAAAAAGATTGCAAAGAATCGAGTGAAATAAAGATACGAGTGCTAAAGTCTTATGTTTCACTCAGAACTCAGGCGATTATTGATCATAAACTAAACGCTTTTTTATGATGTTCATCAGTACACAGTACGATATATGGATATGGTTAACTGTTTAAAGTAGCATGAAACGGAGTAAACCTGAGATAGTTATTTTGAGCGGGAAATTCGGTAGACCGTTTTGCTTCTCTAACTTCTATCTAATGAAATTAAATTCCTCCGAACACTACTACCCTTACCAATGTTCACTGACTTCATGGAGTAATAGGTTGGTTTTGGCCACACAAAGCGTTTGTTATCTAATTTTGGTCTGTTTCGGCTTATTTTACTAGCTGATGTAGGCAGAGACTAGTCATCCTAAAATTATAGACGATGCATGTTTGCAGTTTCATCATTCGATCGATTAACTTACTTACTCAAAGTGTTGTACTTAGCCACTAATTTGTTTCCATAATGATTGCGTCATTTCTAGGTCGTATTCTGAAAAGCAACAGCGTTTTACTTCCTTGAGTTTTTGACTGATAGTTTTGAGCCACGTAGGGAAGTGTGGGCTTTCTGGTCGGGGTCCTCAGGATGCTAAGAACCAGTGGTTGGAGATAATTAGTGATATGGCTCGAAATTGTTCTCAATTGCGGATGCGCAGATGCCTGTACTCTTTGTCATTTCCCAAATCAATTAAACCCTAATGTTCCTCCATGCGTTACTATTTCTTTCTCCTTCATTTTTTGTTGTTGTTGCTTATTTCAGTCCTTTTGAATCCCCTTTTTCTGCATTTCTGTGTTTCATGGGGGTGTGGCAACTTGAACTACTGTACTTATGTGCAAAGTTCTATGCTGAAACTCAGTCACTCGATCCTTGTGTTTTTAAGCAAGTAGGTCTTCAATAGTCGTATGTCATATGGAAGTGAAAAAAAGCCGTTTTTGCTCTTGCACTACACTCGACTTTTAGAAATCTCATCTGAGGGAGGTAATTGAATGCTGAACAAGATTTCTGTATCCATAGCCAACTTTTGTTGACTACTAACCCACCAAGATGATATAGCTACTCAGGTAAATGAGGTGGTCAACATGCCAAGCATAATTAATTCAGTCTGTCATCAAACAACGTATCACTACAAACGACTACAAAGTAACTCTGTAATGTAGTACAATCTGTATTAAACTGTAAACTGATATGACTGACTGACTGATGATTGGTTTCATCATAGAACTTTGCACAGATGTGCAGCAGCAGTTCGAGCCACCACACTTCACTTAGCACACAAAGCAAGAGAAGAAAGTAAAAAGAAATGCAAAACAGACACAGTAAACAGAGATATGAGACAAAAAGAAAAGTAATATTATCGAAGAACAATATAGTTTTATTGGGTATTGTAAGTCACAAGGAGTGGATGCATCTGCACCAGCCATTGAGAACGATTTTGAGCCATATCACCAATTGTCTCCAGCCACTGGTGTTTGCCGTCCCGAGGACCTCAACCAGGAAGTCTACACCTCCCTACGTGACTGGCTGGCTTAAACTAACTGTTGTGGATTTCATTGACTGATGATGCCATGTTTTGGTTTGACCACCACTGGCTCTTTTCCAACCTGACCCTATGTCAGCTAACATTTCCCATCGAGGAAGGCGATGGCTAGGCATACATAACACATGTCCTAACCATCTCAATCGATGTAACTTTACAGTCTCGTCTACCCTCCTTACCTAGCGCTCGACGCCTAACCTCAATATTTCTCACCTTATTATACCACTTCACACGGGAGATAGGACGCAGACACCTATGATCGAAGACAGCTAATCTTTTCATGTCCTCCACTCTCAATGGCCAGGTCTCACAGCTAGCCATAAAGGAGGACGGAGCGGACTGCTGTGCAGTACACACGCCCTTTGGTCGACAGCCAGCAGGATATCACGTCTACGCCAGAGACGGCGTAAACTGGCATATGCGAACCGAGCCTTCTGTATTCTAGCTGAGATTTCGTCAGTGATCAACCCGTTGGGACTGATGCAACTTCTCAAATAAGTGGAGTGGTCAACGCGCTCTACCACTTCACTCCCTATTTCTAAGCTAGGAGTCAATGTAGTCCAGTCCAGTCCAGTCCTGTAGCATCATCTTATATTTGACAGCAGGAGTGAATCGCATGCCAAACATTCGAAGATTGCTGCTCAGCTCAAGGTGTTCAGAAGACTGTATTTTGTCAGCGTCTTCACCTAGGAGGGAGGACTATATCATCTGCATATTCTAAGTCAACGAGATTATTCCCTGGTAACAAGTCAATCGCTGAGTCACTGAAGTGAGTTAGGGTTAATTCCATTAGTACATCTATGGGTGAAATTGAATAGAAATGCGGAGAGTGGACTTCCCTGATGAACTGATATTTGGAGTTTTATGACACCGTCTAGGTTGCATTTGTAGTATTATGGTGTGACAGAGTTGATTCAAGTCGTCACTCAATTATACATTTGTAGTTAGCAGATCAGTTACACAATCTTGTTAACATCTTATTGTTCTATTTTTCCTTCGATATCTAACCTTTAAATTATTATTTTTCCAAAAGAATGGACACGGAACAAAGAGTACTCTTTTCGATAAATTCATCATCAGGTTCTACAATTATATATACATCATAATGAATGTGAATTGCCTTCCTGGATGTCCTACTTACAAGAAAACCAGACGGTAGCATAAAAAGAGATTTGCATAGAAAAAGCACTTGGACAGGACAATATACACACTTTCCCAGCTTCGTTCCTATCAATTACAAAAGAAATTTAGTGAAGACCCTCAGCCACAGAGTTAGAGCTATATGCTCAGAAGAAGTAATTGAAGATGAATTAAGCATTGTATATGATACTTTGATCGCAAATGGTTATCCTGACAAATTTGTCAAGAAACACATGACAAAGAAAGCGGCAGAAAAGGACTACTCAGTGTCTGTTAAAATTAGAAGCCTTTATATGTACGACTACAATTCATGGGCGATATACCAAGCGAGATAATTACGAAGAAATTAAGAAAATCAGTTCAAAGAACTTTTAATGCTGGCGAACTACACGTATTATTCTCTACACGACCGATGGTACTACCTCGACTGAAAGATGAAGTACCTAGACTAGCTGGCCACTTCAAATTGTATCTATCAATTCAACTGCGCTTGTGGGAGCGAGTTATATTGGCCGTTGCTCTAGGAACTTGATTTTTCGTGCACTCTCGAGAACATATCCCACTATGGCTAAGTAAAGGTGTAGTGAAAACTATTAACAGCTCGATATTAGACCATCTGGTGCAAACCGGTCACAAAGCCAGCCAGCGTAGAAGAATCCTTCTCTATAATATACCGGGTGCCTAACAAATTACCAAAATCGTCGAAGCACCGCATGCTCCAAACAGCAGAGGCTATTGCAATTCGCCTCAAACAACCAGTGCTCTGTGTTCAAAAGAAACAAGTCCAGCCCCTACTACTACCCTGGCCGCTCAGTAGAAACTATAAACTCATGAATTTGTACTATTATCTTTCCTAATTCTTCTGACATTCAGCTTATTTTATGTTGATGCTGTTCAGCTGTAATCTATCAATATTATTGATTCGATGTTATTTAAACAACATTAATGTCGTTCATAAGACTAATTCATTCATTCATTATAATGTATATATAATTGTAGAGCCTGATGATGAAGGGGTTATCGAAAAGAGTACTCTTTGTTCCGTGTCCATTCTTTTGAAAATTTTAATGGGCATTTTTAATCAGTTATTATTTTTCCGTTAAAAACAATTCTAGATCACTGGATTTGCCTATTATAAAAATCTATTCAATGTCCAGTCAAGATTATTATTTCCAGAAAGAATTATCAAATTCGGTAATCAAGTGATTGGTCCAGTTCTAGAGACTCCAGCACCGAAATACCTAAGTAAACCATTAGGTGCAACACTAGAAGTACAACGTCAAGTTGAATTGGATCGTAGAGAGATTAGTCTAATTGAAGCGACTAGACGTATGCGTAGTAGAGACTTTTCATTTGATATGAGTCGTGTTTGGACTGGTGACCAGTAGTAGTAACAATGATTGATTAATTGATTGATTGATTGATTAATTGATTGGTGAGAAGAAAACACATGCTCCAGGTGAAATTGTATTTTTGCTAATATCTTACCTACTCAACTATTTTGATTTTTCCTTCTTTTTTTGTCCCTTCTGTTTTTGACAATAGTTGTTGTGTGAGACAGTATTAGAGCTAATTTTTACTAATAATAATATTTTTGTTAATTATGTGATATATGACGATGATCAAACGACATGCATATAACTACACCGTTTCTATATATATGCATCAAAACTGTATTCCTGTATCATCTCATTTCTTTTCACTTTTATTGTTTTTGTTTTGTGCTCACATGACAGATCAATGAAAACTATTTTTGGTGGTTAGTTATTCTACTTTTGCATTTATCATCCTGCAATCCTTTGTATGTATGTATGTTTGTGTGTGTGTATGCGCGCGGATGTCTGTTGCTTTTGTTCCCCTATTCGTGTTTCTACCCTTCCTTCCCCCCATTTTTTATTACTCCTCATTAGTTTGTACATTGATGCAATTGATGTTAACTTCTGTTTTTATGCTTTCCCTATTTCTTGTTAATCATCATATTATATATATATTGTCATAAATTATTTATTCCCTTTGATTCCGCCGAGTGGAACATGGGGGGGGGGGGGCTTCAGGAGTACATCTCCATTTCCTCTCTTGTTATATGCATTCGTCCGCGATTGCCCATAAGCTCTTATCTCCTCCTCACATGATCTCCATGTCATCTTCGGGTCCATGCCTAACTCATCGTTTACCATTGGGGCTCCACTCGAGGGCCTGGCATGCGACACCACTCAACGGTTTCATCAGAGTGTGTCCGATCCATCTCCGTTTACTTCGGTATATTTTTTGGGTAACAGATTCTTGGTTGATTTGTTACCCGAGTTCCTTCTTTGTAACTAATCCTTTCTAGCCAGTCATTTAATCTTCAGGCAACTGTTGATATAGGTCTGTAGCCTGTTGAAAAAGCTTTTGGGGACGCACCAAGCCTCTGAACCAATATATAATCACTGATTTCACATTTCCTTTCATTCCAATCTTATTTGAATCTTGTTCTTTATGCTGAGTGTTACAAAGATTTTCACGCTGATCTCAGATTAAGTAAATATTCTTTCTTACTTTTCCGATCCTGTCTGGCTTCAGCGCATCCCTCACACCTGTGCTGCTCAAATAAGTAAAAGGAAGTGACCTTGGTCAAATTTTTTCCGTTTATAGTGTGAGTGACTGGTTGGTGCTTGTTGTATTTGGTTGGTTATCTTCATCACTTCTGTCTTCTCTCTATGTTCGTTCACCTGATATCATGTCTTTGTTGCCAACTTGTCGGTTTTCTCCTGTTAATCAGTATTTCACATTCAAAATGTTTGTTTTCTAATATTAAGACAAGAAAGAATAATACCTACAATAGATATTCTTCCAACTTGAAAAACGTGTTTGATTCCTTCCATGTTGTATATATACTAATGATCTACCTAGTATGGATAATAAAACCCTGGATATTAAATGACCAGTGTGATCCCCTATGTCAAGGTGAAGTGGACGCTCATCGAAGGATTTGACGAGGGTAGCGCTACGTTGTGAATTGACAAGGTTCACAGGTCATTGACTTCTGGCCCAAGTACATGGATGGTAAGTTAGCTTGATCTCATAACCTGAAGGTCCCTGGTGGGGTTGTGGGTGAGCACTGATGAAGAGTCGAAAAGTAGGACGAAGCAGATGTGTCCAGTGCTCCCTGGTTTTCAATAATAATAATTTTTGCTTTATTCCCAAAACAGTACTAATGATACAGCAAGGAATTTTCAGCATTCAGTGCAATATTGCATCTAATTTACTCAAAAACGACAAAATAAAAAAATAAACATTACATAATATTAGTAGCTATTTAGCAAATTACTGTTTGCAATACGGAAAAAAATATGCATAAAGTATAAAATTATAGTAATAATAGTAATAACAACTAAAATAAAAATAGCAAAGTTATAATTAAACGATAGAAAGGGTGACACCATGAAATTACAGAAAGATGAACAATGAAAGGGTCGATTCACTTTGCTAATTACATAGTAACTTATATGTTTCACGTCTAACAGAGTCTTCATCACATAAAATACGGGCTAAATAGGGTATTGTAGAATTTTTGTACTTAGTGGTTCGAGCATATAACTTTTTATATTGACTTCTCGTCCTACCTGATGAGATACAAGGGGATAGTTGTGAATAAAAGGGGGTGCAGAGGGTCTGACAGTACGGCCTTTGCCCAATTTGTACAGGAATTTATGTGTCTCTCGACTATAGTATTGGCGAGCTCACGCAGTGGCAAACCACAAGCCCTACTCACAGCATTTAATACCCTTCGTAATATGATACAGTCTTTTTTGAGAAGCCCAGGAAAGATTAATGGAGAGCAATAGAGTACAATAGGTAAAATACAGGAGTTTAAAAATTGCAGAACTAAAGGTTGGTTGATACCTGATTGTCTTAACTTTTTAATGTAGAAGGTAAGACGAAACATTTTCTTAGAGATTGATAAGATGTGGGATGACCATGAAAGGTCAGAGGAAAGAACTAATCCAAGGTATTTAATGCTTGACTTGGTTTCAGTTTCAGTGCCATCTATGCTACAGGCATCATGGGAACTAACTAGTTCATGTATGTCACGTCGATGCTTGAAAGTTAACTGCCTGACATTTGGAAGGATTTAACATAAGACCATTTGACTTAGACCACTTGCTGATGTCCAACAGAAAGCTATTAAGTTTGGAGCAGTCAGACTCGGAAGTGATAGGCAGTGATACAGTCAGATCATCAGCATATTTGACGAAGTTAGTTTCGTTTAAATGAGGCAGGTCGTGTAGCAAGAAAGAAAAAAGAAAAGGAGAGAGGACGGCACCTTGAGGAACACCGGCTTTTATAAGCGAGGCAGAAGATTTGCCATTATATGCAGTATACTGCATTCTGTCAGAAAAATTCAATGATCTCTTCAACTGATGTTGGTTCGTGACGAAATCTATCAACTGAAACTGAATTAAATTTTAAGGCGCAGTCACAGTTGACTCGTTGTAGTGTATGATATTTTTGGTGTAGTTGCGTTTTCTGAGCTTTGCTAGTCTTCTTAGATGCCATTTTCAATGCTAACTTTCAATATGAAGTAAGTTTAGCACTTTGAAGTAGTGGTATTCAGACAAAATTGTATAATTATCAGATAGAACTCTACACACATCTTGCCAGGAATAATGTCGAATCAAAAGCAGAGGAGTAAGTAAGTAGGTCAGCAAAGTGGATAAATTCAAGTTTGATCACCAAAATGACCTCACTCAATTAGAGAATGACTTCTCACTGATACTTCAGGCAACTACTTCACCCAGTAGTCAGTTACTAGTGAGCATTGGATTAATCGGGTCCTAGTGGCTGAGTAGTGGTCTACAAGTTCGCCTTGTAACCAGAAGATCCTGGGTTCGAACCCTGATGGTGGTGGGTGTGTAGTGCTGAAGAGTCCCAAACTAGTGGGACGAAACATCTGTCCAGTACTCCCAGTTAGTTGGTTTTCCAATGGTTCTCTAACTGATGTCAGCTCATGATGGCATCCTTCAACCAATCAAACAAACGAAATCCCTACAAAACCAGTACTTGATAAATATTCAAGTGTTGGTTTGCATGATTTTGACTGATTTCATGTTCAACCGGCTGGGTCCACCAACGTGTCATGGGGACAGATGCTCACTGGCGGCATTGGCTGTTGGTTGTAGTGTATATTACGGATAGGCAGAAGTTAGAAATAATGGGCCATTAGACTCTGAATGAATGACAAGTTTACCTTACGACCTTAGGATCTTGGGTTCGATCTTTATTAGTGGAGTGTTGGTTGCCGAAGAGTCTGGAAAAAGGGCGAAATGACTGTTCAGGACTCTTTTTGGAGTTCAGTGTTTGTCTAACTGAGTGAAATCAGTTCGTAATCAAGCTTGAAACCAATCAAATCCCTGCATACCGACACTTGAAAGTATCTTTTTATGCTTCTCATGATAGATCATTAAAATCAACACGCAAGCTATACAAAGAAAGGAATCACTACCTATTGTAGAACCGTGAAGATGTATTCTAAAAGTTGTATGATTTCATACATTTATTCCTCCTAATGAATTTGAACAAAGCAAGAACTACAGTTTTAGCAGAATAAAATGGTACCATCCTTTATTTCGTTGCCTTCTCGTCAGCTGCTTACAGGGCAAAGACATTATTAAATGTATCTACAAAAAACAATTTTAACATACAAGTGTTGGTTTGTAGGGATTTGATTGGTTACAGGATTTTCATCATGAGCTGACATCAGTTGTCTGTCTGTCTGGATCCAACATAGAACTTGGCACCGAAGTGCAACAGTTCGAGTTGCCACGTTCCAAATAGCACACAAAGGTAGACAAGTAAATGAGTGAAGAGAATCAATAGAGTTTTGACAAGTTAGTTAGAGAACCATTGGAAAACCTGGGAGTACTGGACAGTTGTTTCGTCCTAGTTTGGGACTCTTCAACAGTACACACCCAATGGTTCTCTAACTAATGTCAGCTCATGATGAAAATCCTGTAATTTTAACATACTTGCACAGAGTTCATTTTAAACAAAAATCAATCGATCAATATACGCATACACTAATAATATATACATACATATACGTAATATTAAACACTTCCGAACAATAATGATCATACATAATGAAAACTTTTCAGCATCTCGCATTCGGATGAAAAATATCCAGTTACCAGGGCAAAGAAAGACTGATAACCGCTTCTTTCTGAACGCATAAAAATCAGGTTTCAGGCGCTTAATGGAAATGGTTTCAGCAAACTTAAGGAGAATTGAGCTCTTTTGCTTATTGATAATTTTGAACGACTTTTGTATGATTGCCTCTCTATGTTAATGAGCAATATAAATTATACTCAAAACATCATTCAATAAGTAGTAATATTGTATCATTGAGTGCTTTATCAAGTTTAAAAATTTCCATTAAAATAATTATAGAACACCATTTAAGTAAGCAAATGCGTGTTTTTGCTAAATTTCGCACCAGGCTTTACAAATACACAATAAAATATTAGTTGTAGGCATTTGAAAAAAATGGGGATCAACAGAATCAAATATTATCAAGGAGAATGTAAGTCAACTGTGACGCTATGATTGAAATAGACAACCATATCACAGTTTGATTATGATAATAAGGTTAGTAGTACAGTGAAAAATTATATTTACAGTTATCTGGTATTACCAGGATAATCAATCTGTTTTCGATAACTTCTTCTTCATTGATATAAGAATAAAACTTGGGCACTGTGGTAGAGTGTAATTCCATTATGGGTAAATTTTTATTTTGATAGAGTCTCACAGTGTTATACAGTAATATTTACTGATGACATTTCGAGCACAAATTATTGCTCATAATCATATCAAGGTAATTGTGAAACTAGTAATAATAATATAAACAAGAGAGAATAAAAGTCATCTGTAGTTACACCGTATAAAGAGGGGACATCTGAGATCCTACGTAG